AAACATCGAAGTCGTCAACATCAATCTACTGCTTAATTTTACATCTAAATTTAACGGCTAAAATATTTAATTTATTTTTACGCTAATGAAAGAAGAAAGTTTTAAAAATAATGTACTTTTGTGAACTTTCAATCAGTGTGGGCGACTTGAAAAATTACATTTCAATCAAAAGTCGTGCATAATAAGACTTTTAGAAAGTAAATTGGTTTGGGTGAATTGTGGAAATTATATATTGGAAATTATGACTTTTGTGAAATGTTTAATTTTCTGTCCACACCTCAATCCTGTCAATCCGATACTCCGTTCAAATAATATAGAGTGTTAGTTATTTATTCAAATAACTACGGAACTAAAAGCCAAATTAGGTTTTTATAGGTTTCAAGACTATTAACTTTTGATATATAACACATTTACATTGATTGAGGCGTTTGAAAATTCAACACAATTCAGATCTTTATTATCAGCATTTTATGCTTATTTCAATGAGCAGAAATCTATGAAAGTTCAATTTGATTATGAAACATTCTTATTGGAGCTTTTGTAAGTAAAATGGAAATATAAGCAATAGTATTAGGAAAAATTTAAAAAAAAAATGAGCGGCAAATTTTTTTCTTTCACGAATAATTTACGGATAAATAACGATCGATAAGAAAAAAATTAAATTTCAAAAGTTGTTCTGCTAACTTTATGCACATGTTATAGGCCAACCAAAGGTTTGCAACACCCTAAGTGTGCTCGGTATCGTTTTCTTGGTAAAAGGCAAGTTGTTTTCGATATCCAATTTTTAACACTTGGCTTCACATTTGGTTTTAAAATTTTAAGGTACCCAAATTTATCCATTATACCATCTATAAAATGTAATGGGCCTATGCAGCCCCAAACCATCACAGAACCTCTTCCATCTAAATTAAATTTACTTTCATCGGTAAATTGAACCTTCAATAAACTAGTTCCAATAACAAAAATGAATTTCTGATTTTATTAATGGGCTTATGACACTACATTGCTGGCCTCATTCATTGATAATTTTTTTAAAGCTATACGATTTTACGTACACTAGTCGGCATAATTATTTTGACGAAACAACTCTTTTTTGACTATTGAACTTAGCGTTGCTGGAAATGAGGCGCAAAACAAAGAATATATTTTTACCTATGTGCATGCCAAATTTTATTTCCTTTACCTTTTGCATTCAATTTTTACTGATAAGAATGCATGTGGTCAACGGTTTTCTACGTGGCACAAGTATTTTGACAGCATCTTTATGGAAATATTTTCAAACTTTTAAGCACGCGAGAACCAATGAACTTCTGTGTTTCATTTGGAGTAATATTAAACGTTGTTATTAAAACAGAAAGTTATTAAAAATCAGTCAATAACATGGGTAAAACGGCAGAGCTAAGTTTGGTTACCAGATCTTCAATAGTAGCAAAGTTTAACGCTGGAATAGCAGTCAAAGACATTGCCAATGAGTTTTGTGTGTCGCGTCAAACTGTGCACTACCAAATTAAAAAGTTTAAAAAGCATAATGACATGCGTAATTGAAAAAGATCGGGTGCTAAGCGCAAAACAGATCTCAGTGAAGACCGAGTCCTTGTATGGGAATTTAAAAAGAATATTTTTTTAAAGCCCCAATCCGCAGCAGATCAATTTAATTTGACAGCTAAGACACTGATTAGTGAGCGCACAGTCCGTCGGCGATTAAAAGAATGCGATTTTAAGACTTATAAAGCCAAGGACGTACCATATATAACAGAAAAAAACAAGCTGAAAAGACTGTCTTTCGCAAAGGAACATCTTCATAAGCCAAAGGAGTTCTGGAGAAGCGTTCTATGGACAGATGAAAGTTCCTTTGAGTATAATTCATCAAAAAATAAATTTTTTGTAAGATTACCAATTCTCCAAAGGCAGAAACGGCGGCCCGTTTGCCAAAAAGTAAGCCATGGTGGAGGCTCTGTGATGTTCTGGGGATGTGTGGCTTATAATGGACTGGGTGACCTCGTTCCTGTCACTGGCTCGATGAACCAAGGCCAGTATTTGCGGGTTCTAAATGATAATGCGTTTAGTTCCGGAGACAGGCTTATTGGACACACCTTCATTTTGCAACAGGATAACGCCCCATGTCACAAAGCCAAAATAATTACAACATTTTTGAAGGATGTTGGTGTTACCACTTTGGACTGGCCACCTCAAAGTCCAGATTTAAATATAATTGAAAACGTCTGGTCTCTTATAAAACGTAAAAGAACAGTATCGTTGAATAAAACCAGAGAGGAGACAATTTCTGAGGTCACTTCCCTTTGGGAAGAGATATCTCTAGAGATTATCCAAAATTTAGTCGATTCAGTACCGCGACGCTTGCAAAATTTGTTGAAACCAAAGGAAATTATATATTTTACTAAATTATTTTTTTCCTTTGGTTTTTTTAAGTTTAAGCTTTATTATTCATATTAAAAGGTACTTGTCAAAATACTTATGCCACCACATGAAAATTACTTTAGCTTATATTTTTTTAAGTTCATATGACAAAATGTTGAATTCATTATTTTTAAGTTTGTATTAGCACTAAGTAAAACAGAAAAAAAAATCATTGAGTTATATTAAACCATTAAAAAGTTAAATACAAATTTGAACCATTAGTTTTTCGTCAAAATAATTATGCCGACTAGGACTAGTGTATGACAATTCCAATGAGCAATGAATGAAGAAAATTGACAGAACCCGATAACCGATAGTAAAAACACTAGACGGAATTGGGTGAAAAAAATATCATTCGGTAAAATACCACCGGGGCCGATACATCAATGGGCAAAATTGTATTTAAGAAGTACAATTTTGGAGTTGACGACATAAATGATGTAAAAAGCGAGGCTTAAATGTATAAAAAACTATTTTTTTTACCATTTCAAGGTAACAACTGAAAACCTTCCAACGTTAAAATAAGCGGGATAAACACAATATGATAAGCAAAACAACAAAGTTTGAATTTATGTGAAAAAGGCAGAGTGACCGTGAACTTATTACCAGAAAATCTCAAGCAGTATCCAAATAGTTGTCTCTGTCTCTGAGCTTTAATGAATCCAACAATGAATGAGGCGAACAATGTAATCTCATACCCGTATAAGTTTTTCCTCTTTTCAGCACATGTAAATTCCTTTGCAAATTTAACTCTGCATTTTTTTTCGGCTAATAAAAGGCTGTTTTTGGCAATTCTGCAATTGTAATCAAATTTATGCAGATTATAACGCACAGTATTCAAGCGAACTTATTTACCAGTTCGGGTTTTTAAAGAAATTTTCAGTTCTTTGCCGGTTTTGAATTGATCTTGCTTAATTTCCTTTAAAACTGATCGCTCTTCTCGGTCATGTTGTATCTTGTTTTGACCTTCTCTGCTTTTATTGGCCGGTCTGAATTCATCACGGATTCTTTTGATTATGTCATGGACAATAGACTTGTTTTTTCCGACCAATTTAGCAATTTCTCTAACAGTTTTCCCTTCAAAATTGAGTTTCACAATTAACTGTCGAAGTTCTACAGAAGAGTGATTTTAATTGAATATTTAGGATTTTTATTGATTATCAGAAATATATGAGTGTAAACTTAAAATTAACAAAATTTTATCTCATTTAGTGTAGTTTTGAGGCATATTTATCTTATGCAAATAGTTGTCCCATTATGCGATGGAGCCACTATATTTATAAAACATCGAAGTCGTCAACATCAATCTACTGCTTAATTTTACATCTAAATTTAACGGCTAAAATATTTAATTTATTTTTACGCTAATGAAAGAAGAAAGTTTTAAAAATAATGTACTTTTGTGAACTTTCAATCAGTGTGGGCGACTTGAAAAATTACATTTCAATCAAAAGTCGTGCATAATAAGACTTTTAGAAAGTAAATTGGTTTGGGTGAATTGTGGAAATTATATATTGGAAATTATGACTTTTGTGAAATGTTTAATTTTCTGTCCACACCTCAATCCTGTCAATCCGATACTCCGTTCAAATAATATAGAGTGTTAGTTATTTATTCAAATAACTACGGAACTAAAAGCCAAATTAGGTTTTTATAGGTTTCAAGACTATTAACTTTTGATATATAACACATTTACATTGATTGAGGCGTTTGAAAATTCAACACAATTCAGATCTTTATTATCAGCATTTTATGCTTATTTCAATGAGCAGAAATCTATGAAAGTTCAATTTGATTATGAAACATTCTTATTGGAGCTTTTGTAAGTAAAATGGAAATATAAGCAATAGTATTAGGAAAAAAAATTATTTTTTTTGTGATCAAGGGACAAAAAAGAGTTTTTCATAATATCAAAGAAAAAATTATGTTTTTATGTCTCCTGTACAAATTAAAACCAACTTACCCACAAAATATAAATTAATGTTTAAATTAACAAAAAAAAAAATTTAAATCGAACTTCGACTAGCCCAAGCTGTTAATAACAATAATGGAGTTAGCATTTGGTGTATTTTTCGATCGTTTCTATTACAGCTATATGATATTGATGTCCGATTATTATAAAATTTAAAACGTAACGTAACAACGTAAAGTATTTTCAAATGAATTTCAAGAAAAGTTATATTTTTTTTAATATTAATTTAATTAAATTCTTGTTTGTTTCTAGGAAGCTATTAAATGTTCAAACAAATATAATAATAATGTGACGATCGAACCTTACACTTTAATAAATTCTGATATTAAATTTAGTTACAATTATTATTTACGTTAATAAAATTAAGCTTTATTTTTTTAGAAGCAAAACTTGATTTTTTTTGTTCAGCTTTGTGCCGATTACAAAACTAATTAAAAACATTAAAGTTCATTTTTTATTAAAAAAATAAAAATTTTCTGAATATTTTAGATCGGAAGTTTTTGAAGCTGAATGTGCGATCGTCACTTTGTTCTTACCTCGTCAAGTGGTAACAACAAAAATGTTTGATAAATTGTAAGGGTGTAACTTTTTTTCGATATTTAAAACTTACGTGTTGCATTGTATTTTCTTGAATAAACTCAGGCTCGCCGTCCTGCAGTATACGCATAAATATTTTTAACGAATTTTCTAAGAAAGACGGGTAAGCTGGACTTTGCATTATCATTTCAAAGTGTTCACTAAGTTCTTGCGTAGCTTTCAGCTTGAGTTCTTCTTTTGCAGAAGAATCATTAAGAATATTTAAATAATTGCGGAACGTATTTACGGGATTACTTTCGTTCACCGCCATCATATACAATTAAGTAAACACCGACCACTAGAGAAGCCTACACCGGTGTAAACAATATTTTTTGGGAGATTAGTTGTCTTTGTAGTTAAGTCATATTTGAAATTTCGGAATAGGAACACAAAGCATTTTCGTGCTTGTCTTAATCCAAGCTGATTGTTTTACGAGTTGTGTTATACACAAAGCTCACACAGAAAATCCGAGAATAATAGCCTATTCACACCATTTTTTTTGTGGAACAATGGGAAGATATGGAAAAAGTGAAATTAAAGGTGAAGTTAAACAAAACATCATTCATCCCGAGGATGTGAAACAAGAACTAACACTTTAGTCATGTTCCCCGAGTATTCGAAACCGGTGACTTTACTAACAAATTGCAAACTTAATATTACCTCAAAAACAATCGAAATTTAGGTGGTGCCATCTGTCGATATAACCAACTAGAAGTTAAGAGAGTGCATCACCCTACCCGCTAAAAGTTTTTTCGTTCTGTTTTTTTACATCATCGAAAATCAGCGATCACCAGTAGAGCAGTGGACGGTCAGCGGCAGAGTGGCCGCACAGCGGCGGCAGAGATTTTAATAACTCTAAATCTTTATAAAAAAGTAGCTCGATTTTGAGATCAATTGCTAAGGTCTAACAGGTCTCATGTCACTGACAGACTTTTGCCATTTGTGGATTTTGAGATCAATTGCTAAGGTCTAACAGGTCTCATGTCACTGAATTGACCTTGCGCTACGAAAGTGAAACTCTTGTTCCAACTCAAAAACACTCGTCAACAGTCACAATTGCGAAAGAAACTTTATTGACTCTCTTAAACTTTTTTAAAAGTTCTCTTTCCTCATTTTATGATATTAAGTGCTATGAATAATGGTTACATTTTGAATCTAAACTTTAAAATCATAGCTTTTATATATGTAATAGCTATTTGGTATACCATTTTCTGAATGGGGCACCGTTAGCCTTTAAAATCCCCATTCTCTCCTCCACCAAAGCCCCTTGCTCACAGAAAACAGAAATAAAATGGTTTCGCATGGTTTTCCGTTAATTAAACATAAATAAACTAACGGCTAGATAATTTTGGGTAAATTAACCATTTTGATTTTCCTACATTATGACTGTTGTTCGGTTCCCTTCAGATGTTATGTTCATCTTCTCATAAAGGGATCACACAGCTTCCCACACGGCTTTTTTATTTCCTTAACATTTTAATTACGTGACTTAAAAATAAGTAAATAGTTGAATCAATTTTTTTTGTTGTTTAGCTTTTTTTCAATTAGTGTAAATTTTAGGACTAATATTAAAAAAGCAGGAATAGCAGTTTTCCAATGAGCCCTGCTAAAATAAGTTAACAACCAGCTCCCAGCGTAAGCTAGGCAGAGCAATCCAATGAACTCCGATGGTCACCGTTATCGACTTTTAAATTTTATACCCCGAATGAGTCTCAAGGCCAGCGGGTGAAATCCCTAATTAACGTATTTCTACAGTTGATGTCACAGGCCAACCGCTTCCTTCTATATCAATGGCGGCTACGACCACTAGCGGCAACCACGGTCTACCGACCCCCAGCCACGGACGTATAGCCAGAAGACTTCACCCCCGTCACTGAAGTGCAGCCAGCCGGCACACGAATTACATAATTGGTGCCCAACCAAAGGAATAATATTAAAAAAATTTTGCAATTAAATATCGCCCTAGGAGATGGCAGTGTGACCACTTTTCCAAAGGTTGGTAGGGCCAAGAATGGGAGGGGTGGTGTGAAAAGTAAGAGGCGCTCTGGTGGACGAGCAGGAAAGAGTACTTTAATCCGCTCTTAGATTCCACCACCTCCCCTGGCCCAGAAGTATCTCCACCCACAACAAACCATGAGGAACTGCACCCACACCAATAGCTGAATGAGAGCCGAGCGACTACGTGATGCAAATGAAAGAGGTTTCTGCCGTTGGCGAAAAACCGAGAAAGGGATCAGAAAAAAAAAATAATCGGGTGATGCTGGTGCTGGGCAGAGGGTATATATAGGGCTGAAAGGGATCAGGCCACCACGAGTTCCCAAACATTTTTACAGCAGCAAGTGGTCCGGAAAATTTATAGTGAAAAAAATAAAATATAAAATATAGTTGGTTTTGGCGACCTTTCCAAAGTATATTAATTGTTAGCCGGCTCGTGGTCAGGATGTTGAAAAAAACACAAAATTATTTCAATTCTGGTTATTTGTCAATATATTTCGGTTGCTCTTCGGCAACCGTCTTCAGGACAACTATAAAAAAGTTACAACGATTTTAATATTTTAACAAACAGAAAACAATTAACATTTGACATACATTTAATTTACACGTCTGCGTCCGGGGACGTGGAGTTGTTAACTAATTTTTCTTTCCCTAGTAAGTGTCTATATAAATGAGCGCAATTGTAGTTTTGTAGTTCATCCGTATGTCTTTAGGTGTTTTTATGATATGTAGCATTTCTATGGTGAATCGTTTGGCATAGTGTTGTTCTTGTGATAAAATACCCGTCTCTTCGAAGTTCGGTGAGTGATTACTCTTGGCACAGTGGGGCATGAGTTCTGTTTTTTGCGCGTTCGTATGGTGTCTATCTTTGAAGTACGATCTATGCTGTGCTAGTCTAGTTTTTAGTTTAGATTTTGTTGTTCCTATATATATCATGTTGCATGTTTCGTTGTTGTTGCCGTTGCGCGGTATTTTATATATATCATGTCTTTTTTGTCAATTTCATTTATCTTTGATTTTGTTCTGTTGTATATAGATTTTAATGTGTGATCCGGTTTATGTGCGATACTTATGTTTTCTTTGTCGTAGCATTCCGATTTCGCTACACGTTCAGATAATGCCGGTACGTATGTAATTGTCATATATTTTTTGTTTTTATTGTTTTTAACGCTATTTGTTTTCTTGTTTAGTGTTCCGATAATAATGTTTTTATTATGTGTTTTGGGAAATCATTATCTGTCAACATTGATTTTATCTCCTGGGTCGTCTCTTCGTGGTAATCCGTGTCTGAAATTTTGAGCATTCTATGTATACAGCTTCTAGCTGTATTTATTATGATTTGTTTTGGGTGTTTGGAGTTGAAATTGATGATTCGTCCGGACGCAATTGGTTTTTTGTACCATTTTAATTTTAATCGATTTCCACGGCTAATTATCACTGAGTCCAAATAAGGTAATTGGTCGTTTTCTTCTAGTTCCATTGCAAATTATATATTATTGATGAAAGAGTTGAGCATGGTCAGTGTAGTTTTAATGTCATCCTCTTGAATGATTGCGAACAGGTCATCTACGTATTTTGTCAGTAATCTTGGAGGTCGTCTTAATTTTTCTAACGTGTTGTCCAGGAGAGTTTCCATTACAATATCTGCAATGATCGGCGAAGCTGGCGATCCCATAGGCATTCCTTTTAATTGTGTGTACAAATTGTTTTCAAATTTGAAATATTTGTTTTCTTGAATACAAAATTTTATTATGTCCACAAATATTGTTTGCGGTATTTGACTGTATTTTTGTATTATTGTCCATTTGTTTTTAATTATATCCAGGGCTAGATCTGTCGGTATACTCGGAAATAATGAAATTACGTCAAATGAAATTAATCTTTCATCGTCGCCAATATATGTGTTGTTGATTTTGTCTTTGAATTCTTCTGAATTTTTTATGTTATATTTGGAGTCTACTGTTATGTTTTTTAATATGTCAATAATGTATTTGCATAGTGCATAGGATGGTGATCCGATGGAGGAGCAGATTATTATTATTATTTCTTTCGAACCTTGAGATAAGTTCCATTTTTTGATAGTTTGTCCACTATTTCGTTACTTTTTGTTTGCAGTCTAGGGGTGGGGTCTTTCTTTAGTGTCCTGTGTGTGTTCATATCCTTTAATATGTCCTTCATTTTTTGGTTGTAGTCATCTTTGTTTATAGCTACCGTCTTGTTACCTTTGTCTGAGGTCAATATTAAAATGTCGTCATTTTCTCTAAGAAATCTCCTTGTTTGTCCCACTGGGTCTAGTATTGAGAATTGCGAAAGCGGAACAATTGAAACAATTTTGGAAGCTAGCTTATTCAATAATATGAATGACGGTATAACTAAATACATTCACCCAATAAACAAATAACCACAGTGTAGTGTATACAAACAACCGAGTTAGTTATTATAGAGGCAATGGTAGAGGAAACTGTCGAGGTCATTTCATACGCGCTAGAAATAACTTCTACCAGGGAAATTATCGAGTTAGAGGCCAATATTACCAATATTATAATAATCGAGGAAATTATGGCCAAAACCAACATCATAACAGCGGAAACTAAAGAAGTTCTTTCCGAAATAACTCAAATAATAGAGGAAACTCAAATGCTCAAGTCGGACCTATTGAAGCAGAACAGTAAAACTAAAAAAACACAAAGCGACTATATATAAAATATATCTTAGTCTCAACATTTATATAAAAAAAATAACTATCACACTAAAACATCCTTAACCCTTTTAATAGGTACAGGAGCTGATTACTCTTAAATCAAAAGGCATAACATTTATAGAAATACAGACAGGAAAATTTATAATCCCTTTCAAATTCCAAATAGTTAATGACGACTTTCCAATACACTGTGAACAGATCATGACTGGTTAATAGCTGAACCCGAAAACTTCGATCAAGAGATCAACATTCTAATTATACATTCAATAGACTATAATCCAATAATTCCTGCTCGATCTGAAGTCGAAAGACAGGAAGAAAAGCAAGATGGGCGTTAGAACTCCAGCAATATCAATACGACGTCCAGTATATAAAGACTTTAGCGGATCACGACAGAAAACCATCAGTGCAAGTGGATTCAGCGCAAACTACAGGACATCAAGTATAACCCACAGAAGTTTCCTGATTATGTCATCGAGAACGGAGAGCTGTATCGCCACTTCGGACATCCCCCCGACGACCAGGACTACATACCATGGAAACTATGTGTGACAAGTGAGCATCGCCAACGAGTTTTACAAGAATGCCATGACGCGCCCACAGCAGGCCATTTTGGAGTACGAAAGAC